AGCAAATAAATTATCTTGTTTCAAAAAAGTTTAAAAACTTTTAAATAACAGAGAAATAAGTTTAAAAGTTTCCGAAAAGTACATTGTTTATTTATAGCGGTTTATATTGTTCAAAATTTATAAAAATTACAAAAAATTCCTACAATTGTGGAAAATTGTAGGAAAATAAAATAATTTTATTTTCTTATAAAATATGCAATAATTCCTCATTTACAAGATCGCTGCTTAATTAATATACTTTAAAATCCACTTTTAGGTCCTTATATATAATATAAATTCACATTTTAGCCAGAAAATCCCAGCCAAGCCCTGAATCAGGTTATCAAATAATGGGAGTTATTTTTTAAACTTTATTTTCAACGATACTGAAAACTATTTAAGAATGAAAGAGTATATTGAAACTAATCTTTACCTGTAAGTTGTGTTAGATAACTATTTATTTAATTTAATTTGTTGGAACACACGATATGTTTGACGTCTCCAATTAAGAAACCGTTACTATTAAAGCAAAAACTTGTTGAAAAAGTATTTAAGGATCGATTAATTAGAATTAACATCAAAAACTAAAATTAAAATACACGAATCTAGTTTCAAGTAATATTTCATACTCATTAAACTTAATTTATCACGTTGCTACATATATTTCACCTTAACATTATTCTCATATTTCTGTTTTGAAGTAATTGCAGTCTATTTTGTGATGTAGGTACGTATTTATTAAACAGAATTACAAAATAACTAACTTTTAGTTAAATTAAAAAGTACACGAGGTTAATTTAATTTTCTTCAATATTTTCGTATAATGTAATAGACGTAAATTAAGACAGAAAGATGAGCATCAGAGTTGATTTAAATTTGAACAGCACATATGAAAAATTTCATAAATGTATTTTTGGTTGTTATTAAGTAGAATGTGATGTTCCATTTAGAACTTTTATATTTAGTTATTAACCGTTAACTATCTTCACAGAAAAAAAAACAATGTCAAATTAATGATATTTAAAATATTCCGTACATCAACGATATATTGTTGAAATCATAAATATGGAAATAGATAATTCAAAAAATTTTAAAATATTATTAAAGAGGAACAACCTTTTGTGTATGTTTTACAAAATAAAACAAAACACATTGAATTTGTGTAAATTAGAACAAACATAGGGAAGAAAATAAAGTAGTAATTGAAATTTAGGCTTTTAGTTCAATTGTGTAATTTAAATAACATAAAATAAACGAAGAAGTAGATGTATTTAGAATAGGTGCAATAATTAAATAACAATAAAAAAATATCTTCATTCGCGCGAAAATATTAAATTAAATGGTGCTTTTAAAGATGTAAATTTAATATTTTAGGATATCATTAAAGAAACTCTTTTTACGATAAGAAGGTAAAAAATGGTAAAATGATAAAAAAATGCAGCTTTGACAGGTGGATTTTTTCCTTCACCTAAAGATAACGTTGTGATAGAAGTCATGCTAAACCGAATACCCCTAAATAGATTAATTCAAGGCGAAGCCAGGTCTTTCACATACAGACTGCACACATAAGTAGTTTGCACGGACGTGACTACAGTAAACTATATAAAGAGTTGAAGAACGATCAACTAATGGGAATGCCTGCAGATAAATATATACAGTATGTCCCCCTAAGTTGGAATCATATGGAAAACTTTTTTATTATTGATTTTAGGAAAAAAGTTATTCTTGATAAAAAGTCCTGCATGACTCAAAACTTCAAATTCAGTCATTAAATATCAAATTTTTCAAGCCGTATACGAGGTTTTTCAAAAAATATGAATTTTCCTCAAGAATAAAGTACTTTTTTTTTGACAAAACGAAAATTTTCATTAAGAAAAGTTGATAAGAATCAGATTTTTTCTAGATTTTGCATTGATCTACCTAATTACGGTAATCCATAATTTTTTTTTTCTTTTCTCTACTATAAACATGATGTTTGTGAAGAATTTAGCAATTTTTTTCCTAAAATCAATAATAAAAAAGTTTTCGATATGATTCCAACTTATTTAAAACATTAAAATACTTTTTTAGAATTTTTGGTAAATTCTTTATATTTTTAAATAATAATAATGCCAATTATTAAAACACCAATCAACAAAGGAAACAGACTTGACTAAAAATGGAGGATATAATTTTAAAATTTAGGTCGACGTGGGACGTACTACCAATTTTTCCCCTATTTCACTTTCATTTTTTCATTCGCTAACATCAAAAGCTCTTTGACAATATGGTTCTAGCTTTTAAACCCTCTGTCTGCTGTATTATTTTAAATAGTGCCTAAATTTGGATTTTCCCATGCAAACACTAAATGGTGCTGTAAAGGAGCAGATCATAGTTCCAAACAACTCAACCAATGAAAAAAGACAGCAATATCTAATCTGAACCATCTTGTATGCAGAATTCTCTCAACCACACTAACTACAACTTTATAACCAGCAGTTAGTTCACAGATGCCAGAAGGTGTTTCGTTAGTTATGTAAATTAGACGGGAATGGCAGTTCGTATTATCGATAACAGTTCTGATGCATTCCGATTAAACACAAATGAGGTGAATTTATGTCGAAATTGATTATTGTATACCGAAATTTATGCTAAGGTAATTAAGTTCTATAATTGGGACACACTCCCCCGATTTTCATCGTACTGAATCTGTAATTGAGTATGTATATTAGACGGTTGTTGTCGATAATATGTGACGTTGCTGTGACGAAAATTTCATTTGCTTCATTAAACATTTCCGGTAAATACAGAGCTAAATTTTCGACAGATTCTATTTTTGAAAAACTTAAGTATCTGTGTCGCATTTTTCTTAAGATGTTTAATTAAAGTTTTGAATTCGTAAAAATTAAAGTTAAATACAAGGCGAACGGCAGCTTTTTAGTATGGAGAGCTAGTAATAAGTGTTAACTGCTATGCAACTTTATCAAAACAATGTTAATATCAAACTATAAGAATTGAACTCTACCAAGTTCCAACATTTTAAATGACCTGAAATGTTTGAATTAAAAAAAAAAGTTTGTATTGACCTATATTCAAATAAATCTTCTGGTAGAGAAAATTTTTGTAAAAAAACAACGTAATTATCAGTAAATTAGTTCATTATTTATGCTTCAAGAATCTTTCCTTGTCAGTTTACAGATGATTGAATTTTAGGTTTCAGACTATGTACAATTTTTAATAAAGAATAACTTTTTTCCTAAAATTAATAATAAAAAAGTATTCCATATTTCGTCATCTTAAGTAGACATATTAACCTTCAATTTAAAAAATTAACAATAATATTAATAACGTTATTAATTAAAAATGTTAAAGGTTTAGTTAATGTTAATTCAAAAATATCAGTGTTAAAATATATCTATAGGTATATGAAACAAATATTATAAGAAAATACCTATCATAACTATGTTCGTTTTAAAACCTTTTATTAATTAAAATTTGACTTTAATGAGTTGAGTTTAATATCCTAAAATTATTGGATAATAAATAGTCAAGAAAAAATCGTAGGAATTATATTTAAATTTAATTTTAGTTAACGGAAAATTTTATAATATATTAATATAATAAAGAAAGGCTGGTTTAATAAACTCAGTTGTACTTCGGACTAGTTACTGGGAGATCACTTTACAAATGAAGAACAAATAATGTATCAGCTAGTTCTAATCAATAATAATATATGAATTTGATGTATTACCTAGAAAACGGTATGTAAATTTTAAAAGTTTCTTACTAAGACATACCACACATGTTTTTCCTGAAGATGGAAATAAGTTAATAAATTTCTGAAAGCTTGTAATGAAAAACTAACTAAGTTTCGCTTATTAGGGTCACTCTCACTTTGATCCAACGTTGCCCCATTTAGTGGATTGCTTCTTTTTTGGAAGATTGTTAGCTTTTAAGTAGACTAATATAAATTAATAAAAAATAATCCAATTACTTAAATGAACTTCCTATTTTTAAATAAGTGTTTTGCTAAAAATGATAAAAACACAAAAAACGTTATGTTAAAACCAAAGATATCGGATAATAGATACGCCTTGTATACATTACACTTGTCCGCAACTTTTTTTTGACGGTACGCTCTTCCTATGTTGTCAGATCTCTTTCATCAAATATCAACCATTAAATTTTTATTAAAAAAGTTACTACTCCCTTTAATACAATCTAATAAAAAAAGGAAATAAAAAATTAAAAGCATCAATATGAGTTTTTTATTAATTGCAATCACTTAAGACTTTTATTTAGCTATTTTTACATGTGTATCATAGGGGAATATTAAACATTCTGGTATATATCCTTTAAGTTTGGCAATGTTAGACATTTTGCTGATATTGTCAAAGTGACAGATCAAGTTTTATTGTGATTTTTTGTGGTTTTTGTAGTTTTCAAGAATAATTTAAACCCTAAACTTCTTAATAAGGACTTTTACGATAGGGAGGAAATGTATAGCGTGTCGAAATACGCAGAATAAGAATTTTATTCGGTCATGTCATAAGTAAGATTATGTTAGCATAGACGTAGGCATATACAGGAAATAAGGCTTAATTTATTTAACAGTGTAAATGCAATTAGCACTAGTATTGTTTATTTAAATAATACTGTTCTATATTTTCTGATCAGGTTTCCTAGAGAAATTATTCAACGTAGAATTTGGCTGCAAAATCTATGCTTGGTGGAGAAAGACATTATGAAAATGAAAGGAGCCTTAGTATGTTCTGACCATTTTTGTATGGCAGATATTTATGAAAATTTAAGTGGTAGACACATTTTAAAACATATTGCTAAACCTATCAAGTAAGTACAATATTGATTATGGGTATTTTTGTAATATGTAAGCTCTAAAATTATACAGAAATCATCACATTTTACATAATTTTGGGAGATGTAGTTGAAGAGGCGAAAAATGAAGAAGATAAAAAGACCAGTAAGGTAACTTAATAATTTATATTGAGAGAAGCACACAATTATATATAATTTTTTTCTAGTTTTTTTAAAGAACAATGAAGATCCGTGTTCATCTATTACTCCTACAGGTCCTAGTGTATCTGGATCACCACTTCCTAAAAGGTAACATTGTAATTGTGTATTAAATTATTAGATTATTTTTGATGTAAATAATTTATTTAAGAAAATTATCACTGCTTAAGTCAATGCTGAATTAAATATAAAGTATTTTACATATTCAAATCTTTTGTGTACCTAAAAAGCATTTTATTTCAAAATCAGTAATTGTTAATTTTAATTATGTTTTTATAATTTTTTATCTATTTTTTAGTAACGGGTTCCATAAAATGCACTTATTCTTATTCTTTATGTCCATATACTAACAGTATATTGTCTTTAGACGATATTAATTTTATCATTGAATAGTTTATAGTAACTGCATTGAACAAAAGAAAAGAGATAGTAAAAAGATTCACAGGTTATTGTTCGGACAATGGCATAGTAATTAATCCCTAAAAAAAATTCTACGATCACTATCCAAAGTAGGCTTTTGCACATTCAAATCTAATTAGAAAGTTGGCGTTTTTCGCCAACTGTCATAATTTGACATTATTGGCGGAAAACGTGCACCAAAGTAACTTTGGCACACGCTTGTCTGTTTTCATTTGAATGAAATAAATTAAATCCAATCGATATTTTAAAACAATATATAAGTTAATCGAAAATATTAAATTAACTTCCTAATATTTTAAATCATTTAACAGTATTTTCTGTAAATAATTAATCATAAATAATTACCGACACATAAGTACTAAAAACTTTTCTCTTCGACAGATTGTCGTGCTCCGCTAACGCGTCGCTTGGCAACTTTTTGTCTTAAGTGTGCTGCTTTCTGTTCTTAATACACAAATAGCTATTTTGTCTTTTATGCCAAAATATACTTTACAAAATATCAGTTATTTCACTAAATAAATCTATTGAGCAGGTTCTTCATTAAGAGTTTGTAGGAGTAACCATTCGTAGTAAAATGACATTCGAAATATCACAAAAGAAGCTTCCTTCAGTTTTTTCTATTCGGACAAATTAGAAATAAAGTCTCTCTTGTGACAGATTAAGCTAATGTGTTTTAGCCTTGTCCATATATTATAAAATCATTACTGATTACTCTCCTAATGAGTTATTATACCATTACAAAAATAATGCTAAAAATAGGTGACGTGACATGCAACCCAAATGATATGTAATGGAAAGATCCTATTTGTATATTTATGTGTCTGAAATAAAATTGTTTTACTGTTTTTAATAAGTTTTTTATTTCATAAAAAAAGGTAGTGAAAAAAAGGATTTCTGATAATACCCATGTAAAAATAATAATAAATAGCCCTATATTTTTATTTGCTCTTCATGTATTTAAAAAAAAACATAATATATAATAAAATACTAACCAAAATGTTCTTTCACTACAGCTACCTACTATTTTAATATATAAAAAATATATAAAATGACTTTTTGAATGCCCTGTATAAATTGAATGTTTTTTTTAAATTTACCTTTGATTCCGAAGACCCATAGGTTATTTATTTGGTCATTAAATAATTTTTACTAAAAAATATTTCTAAAACCTCCCGAAACACTACGTCTATGTGCGACGTACGATTCCCCTTTCCCCGTCTGGCATAACATGCGGACAGAAGGTGTATTGGGTATACAGTGTGAAGGGCGAGTCTATCTTAGATAATATGATGTCTATGGTTAAAACTAGGGTTGGGCGATTATCAAAATAAATAATCAATCATCGATTATTTAAAATAATCAGCCAATGTAGCAACCTTCAATTAACACTTTAATTAGATTACAAATATATTAAAATTAAACTAAAATTTTAATCAAAAGTAAATATCGGAATGCCATATAAATACTACAAGAAATCAATTAGGATTTTTTTTGCACTAAACTCGCTATTAACATACTGGATAAGTAAGAAAAGTAACATACATAGGGGTCTATTCTGTAACAATTCCTTTATATTTAACGGCCTTTAAAAATATTTTCTTCTTTACTTATGTCATTATTTAAACGGATCTTTAAAATACATTAGAGGACTATCTAAAAGAAATCTGTTTAAATAATGACAGAAGTAAATTAACGAGTACGAAAATATTTTTAAGGCCGCCAATATTTTTAAAGGCCGTTAAATATAAATGAATTGTTACAGAATAGACCCCGTAGTACGCAAATAATTTAAATACAATATATTACACATTTACCCTCTTAAAAAAAATAATATAAACATTATTCAAATCTTGCATAATTTATTACATTATAACCTTAATATCTTAACATATACAGTTTTTTATTATTGAAAAGTTTTTATTTACCTTCCCTTTTTCGGGAACAGTTGTTAAATTTATTAAAGTTGCAGTTCTCAATTAAACATATTTTTTTTAAATGATCACAAATAATAAAATAATCTTAATTTTATTTAAACCGTTCCATACTGACGGCAAACGAAATGTCAGTCACAGTCATAGATAAATTATGTTATGATATTAATTATTTATCTATGGTCACAGTGTCACAGAACACTTACTTTATGACAGTTTGTTTTATTTGGTACAGTGTTGCCAGAATATGTTTTTGTTATATACCAGATTTGTCTAAAAAATGTACCAGATTCCTTAAATGTATCAGATTTTTCGAATTCTATTTGCAGTGACATCTAATTCATTGAAAGGGGGAAAAAGGGGGTCTTTATTGATCACGAATCCAAACAAGGACCACAATATATATATTTTACACATGAACATGCAGAATGTACTACATCCAATACAATTGTGAATTGTACTAGACTGGCAACACTGGTTTGGCAACCTTGTTTGTGAGCGGCGCGCCAATTAATATGTTCTTTGACAGTTTGAAGAATCTGTTGGCGTGTTTTCTTCTCTTTTTAGCTATATGCATTTACCATACTGTCTCACTCGTGTTAGGCTCACTCATCATAATGCGCCACAGACACAGTATACTTAGGTATACTGTGCCACAGAGATGCAATCAGCCAGAGGACAATGATGTACCAAAAAATATAGATTAACACGTATGAAAATTAAAATATTAAAATTAAATTTATATTTTTATGTAATTTTAAAATAATGTGTTTTTATAAAATTTAACTGGGTGTTCACTGCACAAATGAACCAATGGAGAAACCGCCCCTGCTTGCTAATCTCAACGAAATTGGTCTAATCTAACAAAGAACTCAATTGCCTTATATTTTTCTTGTTTTTTTGACATTATAAGCAATCTTATGAGCCGAGTAAGATAATTCTCCAATTGCTTAGGTTTTCGTTAACTGTTTTTTTCTAATTTATTAACCATCAAAAAGTATATTTTAGGTTTTGTATATATTTAATGAGAACTATAAATAATAATTTATTTAAAAATACAGTCTGTCATATATTTTCCACTTCCTGTGTACGGTATCTTATCCAATTTGGTACAAAAGTAGGCGCGTAACAACTTGTCTTACATAATAAATCTGTTGTATTCTCAACGGACTTTTTCTTCCAAGCCTTGGGAATATTTTTTTATGAAACACAAAGATTGGAAAGTCTGTACATTTTCAGTAAACTTTATGTGAACGGGTGTCTGGAAGCCAGTCTGAGGGGATCAATTTTTGTTGAAAGTGACTAATGTTTCGAACGGAGAACAGATAACGATAAGTTTTAAAAATTTTGTAAGCAGTAAACTAAGTTAGTATAAAGTGATTGTTAAATTTTATAAATCTATAAATAATTCTACTATTGGAAAATGAATATAGAAACCATATATTATTTTTTTTTTGTAAAACTAAACTAAATATACTGCAATTATATTCTGTAAGCGACAATAGAAAGCACTTAAAAAATATTCTTGCAAATAATATTATTCTAGCACTGTATGTAAAAAAGTTTTAAATACTTGGACAATAAATAACTTGGCAATATCAATCTTAAGTTAAGAAAATATGGATCTGAAAAAAATTTTCTTTAAATGATAGGTTAAAATATAATGTAAATCCTAAAATAAAAAGTTAAAAGTTAAAATATAATTACCTATATAAATTTGTTAATCGAAATTAATTAATATTAATAATTTCTATTGGATTTTTTCTTAAAATGCTTGTTGAGGAAAGAAAAGAGAGTTGGGCACAATATGTTTAAGAATGGAGAGTGTTTCCTTTCATTTCAAGAAACGAAACAAAATTATTTAGGAAAACAAGAAAGTATAAAGTCATGTTCCTGAAATTAAAAATAATTAGTAATCAATAAACGATAATATCAGTGAAATTTTAAATAAAGTGAGATCAAGCAAACTTCACCTGAGCTACTAGCAACATCTTTAGAACTTACCCACTGTACCAAATTCTTATAGAAAGATAGTTTTCCAATCATTTTCCTTGTACAGCGTTTCTCAACCTGTGGTGCTCTCTCCCCTAGGGGACGCCACGACTCTACGTGGGGGGCGCCAGAACAACAAAATAAAAAACCGATAATTATTATTAAAAAAAAAAATAATTTCACAGAAAGAAAAGCAAAATGATATTCATTCTGACATTACAAAAAATTAAGTAAGTAGAGTACACGTTTAAACTAATATACTGTTTAATTATTATAAATATGATTTTTTAGTAGGTACTATCAAATGCCAAATAAAACTAATAAATTTAAATTACCTTTAATAATTTTTAGTGAGTCTCTTCTATCTATTTTATATCCATGAGATGTAATTTATAGACATGCAAATGTCCATAAATAATAGCAATTATATAGCAAATTATTACAAAATTACGCCATTGTGGCTAATGGTACCGTTCAGATATTTAAAATTATTATTTTTTAAGTATATTCAATATCCTATGAACATCTACTAAACATATCAAAGTCTAGGCGCGAACGCAAACCATGGTGGATATCCAATAGATGTAATTTTTGATTTTGCCCACTAAGAAAAAAGTCATACTTGGACTGGTTTCGTCCTTATTAGGACTAGAATTATTTCCATTTTTAAGAATAGCCCGCCTGGCTTTTATTCCACATAGTCTCTGAACTAGGTACTACAGCGACCTTTGATTTTGCTTGCTAAGT